TCATCCATCATATACCATACATATGTCCATAACATAGAATACTTATACAAACCCAACAATTACAACAAAATTAGGCACATAAGCCGTTTGTAGGGGATGTCTACGATACTTACAACATCACACTAGTCAGATATCATAGTTACCCCTCATTACTAACCAAAAGTATACATGAGACGTGCCAAAAAGAGGGATTCATCCTGAACACTAGCCAAACCATAACATTATGTTATAATATATATAATATTTCACCATGCATCTTGCTCCTAAACATACCCACCCAACAACAAACACACCCATTCCATCTTCTCTTCCTCAGGCAAGCTAAAGAACAAATCAACCCTTTCAGCATCCTTCACAATAAAGGTTGCTGCCCTCAACCTGTCATTGGAGTTCAGTGGCAACTTACTTAGTTCCCCATTAACAAGTTTCCAAGCTTCAGATATGTCATGTGCATAGCCAATCCTATGAGCTATTTCAGCCATTGTAGTGTTTGTTTTCTCAAAGAACGAGCCAAATTGAGTAGCCATTTCAGCAAGCCCCTTGGCAATACCTTCAGATTCCCTAGCTCTTTTTTTGGAAGTTGTGGCTGAGGTAGATTGGTTGGTTGGAGTCCCTTTTGCTGATAAGGAACAATCCATGTTATTAACACCAGGCAGATCCATCATTGGAGTATAACACTCATCAGTTGTTTGGTCCTCATTTTCTAAGGCAGCAACCATGTCAGCAGGACTCTCGACTAATGCACCAGTAGCTCTATCCTTACCAAATAGAATTAGCCAATCCTCGTAGTAAGGAAAAGGTACATTGCGCATGCCTTTAGCATCTGGCTCTTTCTACAAAAAACAAAATTATTTCAGATTGTATGTTTGTAAGTAATAAATAATGCAAAATGAATAAGGTAAGTTTTCTTACCTTGACATAGTTTTGCCAAACTTGCTCACTATCAACTAAAATCATCTTATCAGTGTCATCCCACCCAAAGCCACTCAATTGAAGCATGTCAGTTATCAAGTTGTATTGTCTTTTCCAAAATTTTATCTTCGACTCGATGTGAGGGGATGCACGGAGATCAGTTCCAGGAAAAGCCAATATGATAAGTTTCTCCAACTCAGTGTAAAATCCTGCTCTAAACTAACCATTGTCAGCCTTCCATTTCTCACTGAACAGATCCCTCATGGCTCGGATCAAGACATCACACTCTTTTGGGGTCTATACCCTACGACCCCTTGATGAGGAACTAGTTGTTTTACCCTTACCTTTCCTTCCACATAAACTAGTAGCAGTGCTGTCATCCATACCTAATATGCAACAATTTATAACACCAACAATAATAAGACAACCAACCAATCATGCTCACAAGTTTATGTACTCAAAAAACAATTAAAACCTAAGATAAGTTCCTTGTCCACATCATCCTATTTAAGTTACAAATCACCAACTCACAACACAACATAAATATTAAAAAACATTACATTTCCACAAACACACAAATAAAAAGTTACTTGCCAATGCAAATATTAATTAATTTTGCATCCTATTAGCTAACCACTCATTATACATTTGGTTAGCTAGAGTGTCCCTCCAATCAGTCCATTGGTCAGATGCCTCAATTGTGTCAATGTAGTCCTCCCATATTTTAGTTTGATTTGGGAATGTTTTATCTAAATCTTCCTCAAATGGATCCACAGGCATCTCACGTTTGATGAGATTGTGTAGAAGACAAAGCTGTTACAATTCGAGATTGGGTCTTGATTGGGAAGTAGGAATATGTCCTCAATATTGCCCACCTAAGCTTCAGAATACCAAAACATCTCTCAATTATGTTACAAGCAGCAGAGTGTTTCATATTGAAGAACTCTTGTGGATTACTTGGTGCACCCCCTTCTCTCTAAGTGGACAAGTGGTAACGTTGTCCTCTGTAAGGGGCTAAAAAGCCCTCTCCGTTAGTGTAGCCTGCATCTACTAGATAGTAGCAATCTGTAATCATGTAGGATTATATAATTAAGCTAACTACAAGATCAAAGTTTTACATCTACATACTAACATTGTGAAATGCATTAATACTCGTTGGCACTCTTAACCCATTCGGTCTACTTATGGCATCTCTAAGTACCCTAGAATCTAAAGCAGACCCTTCTCACCCAGGCAAGACATAAATGAACTGCATGTCTTGGGAGCAAACACCTAACACATTGGTTGCAATTTCGCCATTTCTTGATCTGTACCTTGGCTTATCTATTGCAAGAGGTAGCACCCTAACATAGGTGCCATCTAGCACACCAAGACAATTCTACCAAAGACCACAAACAATAAATTGTTACTCAACCAATAGTAATTACAAACGTTAGAATTTAATCAAACATGAAATGACACTAAAACTAGTATTTACCTGAAACCACCGCCACCTATCATCTGTGCACCCAGCAATTATTGGTTCAGGTGTCTTTAGTAGGACACCTTGCAGTTGAAGCACAGCCTTAAGGACTTCGTTGAAATATTTACTAACTATTTCACCAGACCTCATGAAATTAAATTTGACAATTCGATTCTTATGGTGGTGCCCAAGCACAGACAAGAACATGGCAACTTTCTCCTCTAACACAACATGTTTTGAATCTGACATGCCCTTTGTTCTGATAAGCGCACACAAGCGCATAAAGGTGTGTCTATTCATTCATAATTGTTCATGGCAATCTTTGTCATTATTTCTTACCAACCTATTGAGGTGGTCAATTTATTGTTTGAAAGGGTTAGGATTTCTACTTATTTCCCTCCTACCCTGATCAACCTTTCCAGTGCAGCATGCAAAATCACAAGATAGACTCCACAAGTGTAGTTCATGGATGATACAATATGTTGCAGGGCAACATATGCCTCAATAAGGTCCCTCCTAGTATCAAATCCCTTGTTACTTGCCATCTATGAAAAAATAGATAGTGTAAACAGAACCAATGAAGCTACAAGAAAATCCTAATCACATTAGCAAAGTCATAGTGCAAACAGAACCAACTAAATAAAATGTTAATCATTAGCAGATGGCATTGTGTTTCAATGAAATTATATTGCAAGAACAGAGTTACTTTTATTATCAAAAATAAATAAATTAATTAAAATCTTCATCTCCATGAGCTTGCAACAACAAATCACACATGAATACCATTTAATAGAGACCTAAAATGTATTGCTCTTTCTCATAGTTATTATTATTATTATTATTATGATTATTATTATTATTATTTTTACCCAGAATTAAATTTACAATTTCCTTATGTGGGTTAGTACAAGTGAATCACATGAACAACTCCAGAACATAGAAATTAACCATAATGATTACTGTCAAACTATGAGAAATGCAAAGTAACAGCAAAAATTATAATTAATTACAGAGAATTTGATAAATAATACTGGGAATGTCAATAAATAAAAGAACTATTTGTTGACCCAAAAATAAAAATAACATTAAAAAAAAAAGAAAAAAATTACCCACCCAGATAAAAACTAATTACAAAGATAGGAACAAAATTTGGGTTTAGTAATAATTAAATAAAAAACTTACATGTGAGAGATTTGGCATTACAACTTCGTTATTGTATCTCTAAACTTGTCAAATTTTGAATCCCAATGTTTATTGGATACAGGTATAGTGCACTGTTCAATGGATACAGGAGGGCTATACATATGTATATACGTGTGTATATATATATATGTATATATATGTGTATGTATAATGAAGGTTTGGCCAAGGCTGAGCCCCATTGGCTCAAAGCTATGGAAACCCATCACACATACAAGAGAGAAGACACAGATTTTGCATATATACACAAATCAACGATGGGGAATAAAGATTGATGCCGGCGATTTTTGAGAAATAAAGAAAATAGAAAATCTGTGTGTTTAGGTAAAGTAAATGACAGAGGAGAACCTTATGTTTGATGCCGGCGACAGAAATTGGCAATCGGGGGTAGATTGGCAACTGGTCAGCACCGTTTCTCTATCGCTTCTTCTTGCAACGGCAGATGGTGAGAATGATGTAGGGTTTCCTGTGTGGGTTAATATATATAGCAAGGGGTAAAAGAGTAAAATATTTTCTTATCCCCTCCCCCTTGATATACAATAACGGGGGGTAGTGTTAAAAATAGGAGATATACAATGAAGAGGTATATTATCTCCTCCAAAATTTTTTTCCAAACAATAGATATATTGGGCCCACAGTATATTATATACTATCCCACCCTCCATCTCCAACAAACAAACTGGGCCATAGGGTTTAGATTGTCTTTAGTATAGATCTGAACTGAAAGTGACGTTCGGGCCCTGTGAGCCTCTCATAGTTTTGTTTTGATAATTTAAAATCTTCAAGCCTTGTTGTAAATATCCCCTCCCCCTTGATATACAATAACGGGGGGTAGTGTTAAAAATAGGAGATATACAATGAAGAGGTATATTATCTCCTCCTCCAAAAAAAATTTCCAAACAATAGATATATTGAGCCCACAGTATATTATATACTATCCCACCCTCCATCTCCAACAAACAAACTGGGCCATAGGGTTTAGATTGTCTTTAGTATAGATCTGAACTGAAAGTGACGTTCGGGCCCTGTGAGCCTCTCATAGTTTTGTTTTGATAATTTAAAATCTTCAAGCCTTGTTGTAAATCATTGATAAAAAAAAAAAAATCAAGTTAATTTGATAATTATAATTTGTTTAATTTATCATGTTTGTCGTAAAAAAGATGAATAATTTATTTTTAAAAATATAATTATCATTCATTTGTTTAATAAAGAAATGTAATAAACTAAATAAGTTATGATTATTGAATATATCTAATTTCTTGTGTGAATTATACAGAAAATTTTTACAAACTTAATGATTAAATTATCAAAATGAGATCACAAATGCGTACAAGACTCTCCAATCCAAATTAGCCTAGAATAGATATAACCATTATTACAAATTCTGATCTACATCCGTTTTGCACGGGTGTAAGTATATATACATATAAAGTTGGATTTTCCTTTTACATGAAATTCCAATCTTTACAAGTTCAACTTTTTTTCTCTATATAATTCCTTTCTATTCATCCCATCTTTTCATCTTCTTTTCATTCTACTCATTATTTCGTCAATGGAGTCAGAGAAAACTTTCTCTTTCTTTCAATCTCGCCAAACACCCTTTTCTTCTCCCTTCCTCCTTTTCTTCTTCACCATTCTCATCCCTCTCCTCTCTTTCTTCCTTTTCTCATTAAGGCATAAAATTTGGTGTAACTGCAACACATGTCGCAGCTGCATCACATCCAGCTGGTCGAAAGATTTCGACAACCTCTGCGATTGGTACACTCATCTTCTTCAAAAGTCACGAACTCAAACAATCCACATACACGTCCTTGGCAACACAATCACTGCTAATCCTTCCAACGTTGAGCACATACTCAAAACCCGATTCGATAACTACCCCAAAGGAGAGCCCTTCTCTATGATCCTCGGTGATCTTCTCGGCCATGGTATATTTAATGTTGATGGAAATTTATGGAGGTTTCAGAGAAAAATGGCCAGTCTAGAGCTCGGAAGTGTTTTTGTTCGATCGTCAGCATTCGACAAGGTTGCCACCGAGATCAAAACCCGGCTTATCCCACTTTTGTACTCTGTTGCTGGAAAAAATGAAGGTGTTTTGGATTTACAAGATGTTTTTCGTCGATTTTCGTTTGATAATATATGCAAATTTTCGTTCGGGTTAGACCCCGGTTGCCTTGAATTAACCCTACCCATTTCACATTTTGCGCATTCGTTCGATTTGGCCACAAAGCTATCTGCAGAGAGAGCGATGGCGGCGTCACAGTGGATTTGGAAGATCAAAAGGGTTTTGAACATAGGATCAGAGAGAAAGCTCAAGGAGGCTATTCATCAAATTAACATTCTCGCAAAGGAAGTGATAAAGCAAAGAAGGAAATTAGGGTTTTCGACGAATCAAGACCTTCTTTCAAGATTCGTGGCCATAACCGACAACGAATCGTATCTTAGGGATATTGTAATCAGCTTCATTCTGGCAGGCCGAGACACGGTGGCCTCGGCTTTGACCAGCTTCTTCTGGCTACTGGCCAATCACTCGGAAGTTGAATTGAAAATTCGTGATGAATTAGACCAAAGGATTCAAGAAAATCAAGATTTTGCTACGTTGGAACAAATTAGACACTTGCACTATCTTCACGCGTCAATTTCTGAGAGCATGAGGCTCTATCCTCCTATCCAATTCGACTCAAAGTTTGCTCAGGAAGACGACACCCTACCAGACGGTACATTTGTGAAAAAGGGAACTAGGGTTACATACCATCCCTATGCAATGGGTCGGATGGAAGCAATATGGGGTCCAGATTTTATGGAGTTCAAGCCTGAGAGGTGGCTAAAGAGTGGTACTTTTTGCCCACAATGCCCATATAAGTACCCAGTGTTTCAAGCTGGAATTAGGGTTTGTTTGGGTAAGGAATTGGCACTAGTAGAGATGAAAAGTGTGGCAGTTGCAGTACTTCGACGGTTCGAGATTAAAGTTGACAGGGTGGGTTATGCGGCGATCCGGTTCGAACCGGGGCTAACGGCCACCATGAAAGGCGGGCTTCCGGTGGTGGTTAAGGAGAGGAGCACCCATGCTGGCCCATGACAACGTGCACCGTGTTGTAACTAATATTTTTTTATCATTTCGATAAATTAATAATAAATATTTATTAAGTTAGTACAAAGATAAATAAAATATGATAAGAAAAATATAAAAATTATAAAAGGGTCTAAGAGCATCTTTGTAGCACATGGGCATTCACTATAATTGTTTGTGAGGTTGGTTTCAGTGGGTCTGCATGTGGGGGGTACGTAAAGTGTGGAAATTTTCAATCTTGTCAACTGTTGCGGACACTGCATTTTAAATGAAAAATTGTTTGAGACCACTAATACAATGAGCTCTAATAGCTCTAAAAATACTGTGTTCCTAATTGATTTGATGTTTTGCTCTTTGCTCTTTGTTTTTATTTTTATTTTCTGGACTGTCAGCTCATTAGAGCTGACTTAGTGGTCCATTTTTAGTGGGATCTATCACCACTGTTTTAAATGAGTTTACAGTGAGTTTTTTAATAATCAAGACAAAGCATCACATATTTTCTCTATATGTTTTCATTTTTTTTGGTATGTATTTATTATTAGAAAATGTTTACAAGGATGGAGTGAGGAGAAAATTATGAAAATCATGATTTTTCTATCTTTATAAAAAAAAAAAAATGCTTAGTATAGCACTTTAAATAAAGAGTGCTGCTATTCGTACCCTATTAATTGTTTTGAGCTCTTCATTTCTTTGGATTTTTACTTATAAATTCTAAAACTTTTAAAATTTCTTTTTTCTTCTCAAATAATATCAAAATTATTTTGTAAAAACATTCTACCCCATTCAATTGACCGCATACCCCACACCCTAAAAAACCTTTCTCCCCAAAACCCTTATAAAACCCACGAAAATGATTACTACTTCATCTTCACATACTTATTCATGACCTGAGAAAATAAATCTAGAATTTTTGTTATTGATTCAAAATTCTCCTTTTGTGGGTTCTGCAATCTTCACGAGTTTCGGTTATCTGTTCCCGAATAAATAAAAAATGTTTGATTACATGTTCCCGAACAAATGAACGATGTTCGGGCCTGTGTTCCTAAATTTCGGTCATATCCTGAAAAAATGATGAATAATTTTTATTATTTTTGTCATTTTTTTTAAAGAAATTTAACTGTACAAGGTCAATCTCCTCTGAATTAAGAACATCATCAAAGTTATAAATCTCTTCCGAGCTTTTATTGTTATACTTCTCTCTTCTTATGGAGTTGTGATTGGTTGAAAAACTTCCACTCATTACTATTGTCAGAAAAGTGTAGATAATCAAATGGTTGTCATCGTTATTGCCAGAATATTGCCACCAAAGAATTTTTAAGGTTTTGAGGGTAGGTAGCTTTTAAAAATGGGATTGGAAAAGGGAGATGAGTGGTGATGGAGGTGGGTGTTCTCATAAACCCTAACTCAGGATGTAGTAGGTGTGTAAGCTTAATTTTGAGATGGGTGTCTCAAAATTATTGATGTCCTTTTTAATAATTTCATTTAAGGTTATTATTGTAATAAAAAAAAGTTAAAAAAATGGGATTCAAAATAATTGATGGGGTGCTAATAGTAGCACTCTAAATAAAAACACATATATAACATTTTACATATAAAATAACTTTATATAAAAATTATATATCTTATTCTTCTGCCTCCTTGCATTCTTTTTTTATTTTATAAAAAAAGAAAAAAAAAATTTCATTCTATCACAGATTGCTTCCATATTGTTTAAATTTTTTTTTTTTTTGTGTGTATATATATCATATTGTATGTGTTATTTATCGTTTAACTCTTTCGATGATGAAATGCTGTTCTATTTGGGTATATGGATATACACAATGGCTTGGTCTTTTGTGATTTCTTTTAATGAATAGTGATATAGCGAAAAAATAAATAAATTGTACATAAAATCAATATAGATGATATGGCAAATATTGATTGTCATTTTAAAGCAAAACACTTATCAATAATAACATTCTTGCAATTATGAAGTATTTAATTTCTTAAAAATGTTTTGCATAAAAAAAAAATTTATTTGCATAATATTACTTAATAAATAATGTCGTATCACAAAAATATTATTTAGGGGTGTTTTGGGAATGACATTTTTTGACCATTTTTTATTTTTAGTGAACTTTTTCAAAAAAAATTCAAAAAGATTTAGATTTCTAGAATCAGTTCAACAAGATGAACCAAAAAATTATGATTTTTTTTTTTTAAAAAAATTCTAGAAAAGACAAAATAAGTAATCTTTTTTGACTAATTTTCGACTTTAGTGATTTTTTTTGAAAATTTTGAATATATATATATATTTTTATTCTTCTCGACAAGACAGACTGGGAAAAAAAAATGACATAATTTTAAAAAAAAAAGTTCAAAAAAATAAAGCGACTTATTTTTTCTGTTGCCAAAATGGGCCTTAATAAATAAGGTCTTGTGATGCGTCAAAATTATTGAATGCCTTTTCTCGGATGCAGACAAAGCTCACACGATTGTTTTGTGAAAATAATTAAAATTTAATTTTTTAATATTTTTTAAAAAATAGATTAATGATGGTGTTATATGTATCAATTAGTGTATAAACTAGTATACCAACTAGTGTTATAATATTATTATTGATCACATTTATTACACAAGTTACAAATATCTAAAACTATACACATGATACCGAGTAATGCTAGAGACCCCAAATATTCTACCAAAAGTTTTACCAAATGTCTCACATGGGTGTGGGACCCACACATTGTGGGTCCCATGTGGGTCCCACACCCATGTGAGACATTTGGTAAAACTTTTGGTAGAATTTTTGGGGCCTCTAGCATTTTTGCATGATACCACATTATCTGTTAGTATATTAGTATGTACATTAAGGGGTTATTTGAGAAGTCCTAAATAAATGCACTTTTTTGACTTTTTGGACTAAAAAGTTTAGGGAAAAAATATGGTTGTTTGGGTTAACTTTTTGAATTTTTTTTAGAAAAATGTGTATTAACAAATTGTATAAATTAGTGTATAGGAAAAAATTAGGATTGAGAGTTGTACAGTCTTACTTTTTGAATTTTGGTGAATAGTGATAATTTTTTAACTTTTTGAGTAACTTTTTGATTTTTTAACTTTTTGGGCACATGCCAAACTTAGCCTAATTGATACATATAGCATTATTCATAGACTAAAGGTTGAGAAGTGATTTTTGACTTACTTTTCAAAAGAGCCCAAAATTTAAGAAGATAAAAAACTTGATATTAGTTAATATATATATATATATATATATATGTTTTTGTTAACATGTGTCCCGAAGAGGGAGGGTCTGCGTGCTGTCTCCAAAACAGAGGGGTTTGGGGAAAAAACTGAAACAATTTGAAAAAAAAAGTAACCGGTTGAAGGGGTTGTCAATATTCCAAATCAAATTCTTCATTGGCTGAGATTTATTTGTGAAAATCTAATGGCTTAAAATATATGTGTATATGATGTGCACATCTTATTGAGGTGCACATCTTAACAGCTCCCCATAATTTAAGAGGTTTTTGAAATTTGTAATGTAATTAATGAGTGAGGTTAATAATAATGTCATAACTAGTATTGATACATTAGTTTATATACTAATTAGTGCATATAGCGCCATTGATATTTTTTTGTTAAAAAATATTTGGATAAACAACAAAAATAATGAGCATTATAACAAATACATAACTTCATTTTTAAATAATAAATTGTTATAACTCTATAAAAAAATTACATAATATTTATCATAAAAATATATAATATACACAATAAAAATATAGAATAAATATATATAGTACACATAAAGTTTCCCTATTTGGATAATATCTATATCTACTTCCGTGTCAATTTTTGGCTGATGTTCAAGTTGTGCTTCACATGTGGTCTTAATTTTATCAAACAATAGGGGCTTTGAAAATATAGGTTACGGAGGCTCTTTTCTTTTTGGGTTAAAATAGTTAATAATAATAAAAAAATAAATTAAAATAATTAATAAGATAAAATATCACATTTAAATTATAATAATTTTTTTTCTCTCATAATAATCAAATCAATTATAAAAAAAAAATAACTATTATTTTAAATAATTAAAAAATTAAAAAAAACTAAAATAACCGACCTCCTAAATCAACCCACCATCTTCAAGTCCTATCGTATGATTACAATTTGTAACCCAATGGGATTAAGAAAGGCATTGCACATGATGTGTACACTCTTCATATTGTGTCATAATTTTAATTTTATTTTATTTCATTTTTGATGGCTTAGATTAGCTGGAATTTGAGATTCGGATTTCATGTAATTATTGTGATAACAAAATTGACATTACATCGTAATGAAAAAGACGGTACATGATGCGAATGCGCAGAGATATGTGTACCATAAATTGATTATCTTTTAGTTTCGAATAAGAAAAATGTTATGAATGTCAAGTAAATTACTAAATTTTTTATAAAATCTGTCACATAGTTGTAGGGGCCATATATATTTACGAAGTTTTTTATCAAACATCTTACATAGTTATGAGATCCACACAAATCACATCCGTATGGGTCTCACACTCATGTGAGAAGTTTGGTAAAAAAATTGATAATTTATTTGAAATCTCTAACATAACTCCTAGAATAATGTTTATATGCATTAATTAATATATTAATAAATAGTGTGACAAAATTTTAAAAATTTTGAATATTTATAATTTGTATGATGGATGGGATCATAATTTTGAAATAATAATTTTATAACATATGTTGATACACTAATTAGTATACTAATTAATGTATAGCTCTAATTCTACTTACTTTTCAATAACAAAAAAGAAACTCGGTCCCATAAATTTGGGATTCAAAATTATCCAGAAATAGATATATGCGTCGGAGATTAAATTAATAAAATATAAGATATATAGATGAAATGAATCTGAATTATTAATTTAAAATTTTAAATAATTTTAAAATTTTTATGTTTAGATCTATAACCTTACTGTTTCAATAAATTGATCATTTTTTTTTTAAATCGAGGTCCATCACAATTTCATCGAAGAGCGTAGGGGTGTTCGTAATTCGATTGCAGTCAGGAAACCTCTAATCTACCATTTGTCTGCTGCATTGATGGATTGAAAAAAAATCAATCCACATCCATTCGTCGGATTGGGTGATGCGGATTGGAAGATGGATGCGAATTGATATGGTAGTTTAAGCTTTTACAAATTTTAAATATAATATAATAACTTGTCAATATTTTTTTTTAGATAACAATTCAACTCAATCTAACCAAAAGATTATAAGTAAATTGTTAAATACCAATAATAAGTCCTCGTTTGGCAAACATTTTGGGG